TACCTTAGTCTCTCCACGAACGCCGAAAGACAGAGACGGTGGTGGTGGTGGGGGCGAAGGAGGAGCAGGCTTATATACGGCGCTCAATAGAAGAAGAAGAAGAACTAACCCTACTCAAGTTTATGGGCTTTTTCATTTTGCAGATGTCTTCTCTTTATGGCCCAATTGAGTGTCTAGATTCATTTTTATTATTTTATTGATAGTGATAGAGAACAAAATTAAATGATTTAGTTTGTATAATAGGATAACAAATGAAATTTCAAAACGGGCGTTTGGTCTAGTGGTATGATTCTCGCTTTGGGTGCGAGAGGTCCCGAGTTCGATTCTCGGAACGCCCCATTTTGAAACATTTTTTTACTTTTGACACAACTTTCAGAATATAGGGATTTGCTCAATATTCACAACCAAATAAACATACAACGAGGTTTAGTGTTTTTCTTGTTAATAGAGTCATCTTCTCATTCAGAAAAATCAAAAGACAACAAACAACAAGACTTTGGCATCACATGATAGCTCAATATAATCTCCTGCAAATAGTGATCCCATCGCCAAATACAGCCTGCGAGATCTGCAGACGCTCATCAGCCGAGAGTTTCTTGTTCAGCTCGAGTGTTGCCTTCTTAACTTGTATCATCCACTCAGGCACGGAGGAGTCCGGTTTAACAACTGATCCTCCCCAGAGAGTGTTGTCATACACTATAATCCCACCAACCTTGATCAGTCTCATTAGCCTCTCATGGTAGTTCCAGTAATTCAGCTTGTCCGCATCCACAAATGCAAAATCGAATCCACCCTCGTTCGCTTTCTGCATCAGAAACATCCAGACACAAAGATTAAGCATTGAAGTAGAAAGCTAGAGTTGAATCATATGTGATTTCGAGAATGTGGGTAACAAAAAAGGTGTACACTTTGAAAGAGGCAAAGAAAGAAGTATGAAGCTATACATTGGTTAAAAGCTCGTCGAGAAGTGGAAGAGCTTTAGACTCTCTGAAATCAATTTTGTGTTCAACACCAGCTTTCTTTATAACTGGCAATCCTATATCATAGAAGTCTCTGTTCACATCAATGGCAATAACCTGGCAGGGCTCGTGTAGCAAATCAGTTACAGATGCAGAACAAGGGAAAAAGCCAGTGTCTTTTTCTTTAGATTTGGTGATATATACACATACCTTTCCGTCTTCAGGTATGGTAAGAGCAGTGAGGAGAAGAGAGTATCCAGTGTAAACTCCAACCTCAATAGTGTTTTTTGCATTTACAAGATTCAGCAGCATTCCAATAAACTGACCAGCATCCGGTGCAGTAGCCATCAGAGCTTTAGGGTGGTTAAGAGTAATGTTCCTAAGCTCCTTGAGAAGCTCAGGCTCGCGAGGGTACACGCTGGTCTCCAGTATATACTGCAACATTATAGGAGAAATACAAAGTCAGTCAAATGGAGAAATGTAAAAAAAGAAGACGTAGAGATGAATGTGTGAAGTGGGCAAACTTCATAGAGCTCTTCACTCTGCAACAATCCCTTGCAAAAATCTGATGCATTTGCTTCATCCTTAGCCATTGTAATCAAAGTATTCTTCCCCACACAAACTCAAGTATCTGCTCAAGGAACAAAGCATAATCAAATAACCAAATTTTGAACTTAAGCAGAAGACTTACGCCGGTCCAGACTCC